GGCCGCGGCTGGAGGCGGCGGGCTTTACGATCCAGGGCCCCTTGGTGCGGTAGTGCGCCGTGCACAGCTCCTTGTACTCGGTGGGCATCAGGAACGTCGTCGGGATAAAGTCGAAGTTCTTCACGCCGCGGAAGTACTGCATCTTCTCGATGTTCTTGAACAGCTTGTCCTTGCGCGTCAGCTCGTACGACCTGATGGTGACATCGACACCATGCTACCTCAGTCATTATCTCTTGTTAACATAAACAACTTAAAACAGACAATTGATACGAGACGAATGTTGCAACCGACCGCGGGAAGTGGTTGACCCTCTGGTAGGGCGAGAGCGCGCGCAGGACGTCCGGCTTGGGATGCAGGCCGGCCCACATGAGGTTGAAGTCCTTGGATTCGTTCGGCGCCTCCTGCAGGCCGTGTGCCTGCAGCAGTCGGTGCAGCAGCTTGGTCTCCGTGTTCACCAGCTTGTAGGTGGCCTGAAGCAACCTCGCCGGCATGTTGCTGCTCTCCAGCACCTGCACACCGCACACGATCGTTATATCTACCGCGTACCCTGCACCTACAACTACTATTAAAGACTCCCTACCTTTACACTGTCTATTTCTTTCACTAAAGTATTTTCCGAATCTTCGCTATCTTGAGGTGAGATACAACGTTTGACTTGTGGTGGTTTTTGTTTGCTTTTTCCTTTATTTTTTTTGTTTTTCTTATCGTCTTTATTATCTGAAATGCACGCAATTTGAAGTGAGTTAAACCATTTTTTTAGGTCTACAAAAGCGAAATCAGTAAGGGCGAGCTGGTCTATATTGCCGACCTGTGGGCGGCGGGTCCTCCGGTGGCTTAATATTGGCGGTGGTGTTCTCAACGTCGAGATGCTTCTTAAGGGTGATCTTGCTAAGGTCGTGCAGCACGTCGTCGATATCGCGCTGGTGGTGTGCCGGCTCGTGGCCCTGCTCTTCGATGGGCACAGCCTCGGGCAGGTCGCTGTCGCTCACGTGCCGCACGACGTACGCCTGCCCGTTCATCTTGGTGCCAGTGCCGAACGTCTCCATCACGTCGTGCATTATATTCTTTGGTCTGACACTGAAGGAGTGTGGCTCGGACACCAGCCTTTTAGCCATATTTTTGGCTTTGTTCAGGAGGATGTTTGTCCCTGTGTTGTTCCCGACGCTCTTGGTCGCCGAATCCATTGATGGCGTCCGGGAGGCGAGGACGCAGGACCTGAACACGAGCACGGCCGCCTTGGAGCCGATGGGCCCGCCAGTCACCCAGTCTGCGACCGAGCCTTCCTGATCGCTCCCATCCTTGGTCTCCTCTTCCGTTTTCCTCATGATGTCGGCCTTTTCCGAGATCGTCTTTTGAAGGCCCGAAGTAGACGGATCTGTCGTTTCTGGTGATACATGTGGACTGAAATTTATTAAAAGCTATATAAATAAAAGTATATGACAAATATGATTTTTATTTAACTTCGAAATATCTTGATTTCATTGCAATGTCACATGTTGTCCATAAAGAGGATTGTTTGTAAAGTTTAATGATAATGCACAAATAAGGTTTAAAAGTAATGAAAGAAAATACATGCGTATGAAGCATTTGTATACGATACGATGCGCAGTACAATAGCCATGTCAGACGGAAATCTAGATGTTGTCTAATGTAATTTACGCATTTTATGATTGCTTTTCTGTGATGTATGAACGCCTCGAGCTTCACAATCCATTAGCAAACAGTTTAAAGACAATAAAATCGAGTCAAAATAAAGGTGTTGGTTGCAGTTGCGAGATCATAACGCGGCCATTTAATCCAGGTCATGGAGACGGCAATTAATGTTGCAGCCGCTTTGAGATTTATTAAAAACAACTTATCCTCGAGTTCAGAATGAATTGAGCCACAAACCTGGCCAGCAGCAACATATATTCACATTCGACTAGCACAAAGCGACATAAAAAAGCATTTGTTGGCGATTGTTCCTTTATGTATTTGTAAAAAGATTTTTTTAAAATCTGAAACAAGCTATCTAGTTTCAGAATAAGAACTCACATATATTACTGCCCTTATCATTTATACATTTTACATCCAAAACATACAAACATTATGTTTGACTGAATACGCATAGATACACGACGTAGTGCATATTGTATGCCAGAAAAGTATTTGAAAAGCTATCTATTTCCAGTAGTGTTCGTAATTTAGCGTCTTAACGAATGATGTCATGGGATATTTAATACCCGGGCTAGCATTACACTTTATGGCACAGGAGTGTAGTCATCAGTGGCGGCGCGCCGTTAGGATCTATTGACAGGGGCAAAGAGCCTCGCGCGTGCTGCCTCCCTATATGGGCCAGTGCGCCCTGCGCTGAATCGCAATGTTCTTGCCGCACGCGCTCACATAATAAAACAACGCGGGTTTTTATTGCCCTTAAACATCTTCACAAAACATACTGTTTATGCCTCTTATTATATGGACATAATGAAACGCGTGTACTTAGCTTCATGGTTGTTTAATTACTGTTAGTTTCATTTTGGTTGCATTAACAATCAATTGATTAGCGCGAGATACGATGCATGGCCACGCAGATCGACAGACGAAGTGCAAGAGAGTGTATAAATGTGTAATAGGGATGTCCGCGCGGCGCTTTTACTAGTGGTGTCCGTTATCGATCATTAGGGATCCTGATGAAGGTGACACAGGCGCCAACACAAACTTAATACAGTACTTTAATAGTTGTTCGCGAAGTTAATTGCAATGTGGGAATTTTATGAAGTTGATACAATGCTGCGATTTCAGTATTAAAGATATGGATCATGTTCATTCATTGTCTTTTTTTTTTCATAGTAAGTACGAATATTACATTCAACGGGTTAATTAAATTTTCAGATTGCGGCGAAGTCGTGACGATACAAAAGCCTGTGTGTTAACATAGTGCATACTGGTTGCATAATGCATAGAGCTTTCCAGAGCACTATATTGTTCCTGAAATCTGCGACTTGTGCCCGCTTTTGAAACGCTGCGGGATAATGTTACAATGACATGCATTAACCCAAAAAGTACTTCTCATTATCCCTTACACACACAATGTCTTGCTCTATTTGTGCGTCACACGAATAATTTTTCCGAAAATCTTAACTCCTTTTGTGTGTGAAAAAAGACATGACAAAACCGATTTCTTACCTAAGAAGTAATAACAGTACCATTATAAATTTTTAAAGTTTTTACTGATTAATCTGTTTCCACCTATGAACAGTTTTGGTACATTTTCGACTAACATTTTGACATTTACATTCGGATAAATTCGGGTATTCTTTTTATTCTTAGTCAATGCATTTTGTATCCTTCGAGGGTGAGTGAAAATGTCTAATTAAAGCGCGAGGGGGGAGAGTGAGTCATCTTCATAAAGATATTTCCGCTGTCGCCGGCGCGCGGACTATCTCAACATCACACGCCTCGTCGTCGCGTGTTCAATCTCGGATGTGTACCGTGCGATAACTGCAGTTGGGCTGGCCCTAGGTAACAGCCGCGTGCACTAAATTGCCTGTACAGCACGTACGGCTCATATTGGAGACAAGCACGCTATCCTCACGTACCATGGTATGGCATGCTTTACGAATCATGTATAAGGCGTGTAATATTGGATTTTAAATAAAAAAATATTTTAGTTTAAATACAGCTATTTTTGAGTCTTCTGCCGCTTATACAGTGACATAGGCGGGTTGATGCGAGTGTAACAATTTCACAGAAAAACTTATTGCCATATAGCACTCAATAGAGTGAGCAATATTTGGCCAACAATCGTAAGTAACAGCAACTGTCGCTTCCGCCCCCGCCAGCGCCGGCGCTGTGACCGCAGCCCGGCCTCAGCGTTGCGTGACCAATCTTTTGCAACCTGACTTACTAACTATAGCAAAAAACGGCGTGCATAATTATACGGTCACACTGTATATGGTGTAGTATACACGATTAGAATTCAACACAAGGCTCCTTTTTCCTCCTAATCGATGATAACTTAGTCATTACCGTCCCTAAATATTTGATTTACAAAACGAATAACGGCTTCCGGAAATTTACCTAAATAGTAATGATGCGTGAAATTGAAAAGTTTAGTGGGGAGATTACGCGACGACGGCTATAGCAATCTGATTTTCTGAGCTACGGGTCCTTCGAGAAATCAATGAATAAACATACGGTCGGGCGAGTGTTTTACTAAAATAGTTCCAGTATCGCTTCATGTATAATTTTGGTAAACGATTATGCAGACGACGTTATTTCAGTAAAATTATTCAGTAAAAGACAACTTTCTTGTAAAGTCCTTCCTGGCAGCTAGGATAGCAAACCCTCGTTAAATTGAAATTGTTAGCCAGCCGAGTGAAGTAAACACATCTATTTTATACTAATTAGATTGTTTCAAGTGTAATATAAACTAAGCATACAGTTGAGAGTAGAAATAACGTTATTCTGTACAGATTTTAAACGCGGCTTTTATGCAAATTAGCAATTAAGTTAAAAGTGGAGCTTTCTCCGAATTACAGCAAGACAACTGGAAAGGCATTACGAGAGCGGCACGCCGGGCGCCGAGTACCGATAGCAAGCGGTCTCAGGTTCAGGTTAGCGGGCAGACAGACAACTTTCAGTTCCGCGCAGAGTTTCGCCTCGCTCTCGCGCTGCCGGTGCGGCACCGACCTTACCATAAACAGAACGTAAGCCGACGGCATTGCCCTTGCCGTCCGCCGCCAGAGAATTAGCTCGGCCCTTACCGAGTACACTCGGTAACATGTATATCTACCTTTATTTACGTATCTATCAAGTAATGCCATTTGTGCAGAATATTAGTAACGTAAACGAACGTACTTTTTTCTACGGAGAATAAAATTACATCTTATTATATGACAAGAAAACGAATGTCTTCTGGCGTCTTTTAAATGTAAAATTATGATTTAGCTTATTCGGACAGAAATGAAAAGAAGAGTAGCACCGGCGCTGGCGCCAGCGGACATGCAAATGTTCCGCCGCCTCCTGGCCCCCGCCCCCGCGCCTCCCCTTAATCCCACAGCAATATGAAAATTGTTTAACACCGCTCGCGCTTCCTGCGACCGCTCACTGATACAGCCTCAACACTACATAGGACATAATTACTTGCTACATTACATACCAACTACACTTGTTGTCTTCATTTTAAATTAGAATGCAGCCTCTCTTCGCTGGTTTGTTTGGAAAAATATTTGAGTATAGGAAAAATTTTAATTGCCTTTTTTATGCTTGAAACTCGATTATTTAGATAATAATCTATGGTACAATTAAATACCATTTGCATTACTAATTCAGTGCGTACTTACACAAAAATTTTGCCCATTAATGTCGAGGAGACAATAGGCTGAGTCAGCGAACGGAAACGCCTCGCCGGCTGCGAGAGAGGGGAATTGACACGCGCCGTGTCACTCTGTGTCACTTAAAAATTTCGCGCGCTTTTCGACGTCACTGTCATCCGGTCGATGGCGGTCGGTCGCGGTCGGCGGGCCGGAGACGACTGAAGTAATCGCGGCCGCGCGCGACCACTTGCTGCGAAGGGGGTTGCTATGGCTGATACACTGCTGCCATAAAACCCCACCGATATTTTGGATTTTATTACACAAATAGGTATTGAAAAGGCGCTTTCAATGTTTTTTGTTAATTAAATATACTAAATCGGCATCTTTTTTTGTCTTATTCATCACTTGTGCTGTTCGGTAAAAGGGTAGGTAGAAACGGAGTACTTCAATTTAATATTTACAGTCTTGAATATATCACAGCTGACGATAAAGCAAATATAAAAAATTCCGAAGTCGAAGCCGGTTCAGGATGTTTTTTACCATACAAGATTATTTTATACACGAACACGACTTTTAAAAGCTGCGATATCTCCACGGGGGGAGGTTCGTACTTGGTACAGGGTTAACTTAAAAAGTTTTCCTTTATTCGAACTTTTAACGAGTACGCTAAAAACTTTTTCTTTTGCTTTATCAAGATTGTTTTGTTTCCACAAAATATATACGTTTGCAGATTTTCAAACATTGCTATCATATCCGCGATGTCTGCGTAAATACTGAATGTTTCTTTTTCGAGCTGTATCTCTTATATCCACTTTTTTCTTGGAGTCAAATAGTTTTTTTTATCTTAATATGTGTTCCTGATTTGACCATTATCATTTTAATGACACTTGTACGTATTACAAACAAGTTCTAATCTAAAATCAATACTCTATATCTTGTTTTCAGACTATCAACTAGCAAGGCTAGCGACGTGTTTTAGCGACCTTTCCCGCATTACGCCTGCACTGCTACCGACAATGCAGTACACAGCTATTTCGTGACCTAAACTTATCTAAATCGAATTTTTGACATTAGGAATACATCAAAGCAGCATGTTTAGATGTAATCCTTACTACGATCATAGTCAAAAGTGACCTATCTACCGTTCGAACATTGTCTTCACTGACACACATCAAAAAAACTAAAAATTATTATTTAAACGAAAATAGTAATATGTAGCACTGGGAAAAATTATCAATACTTTATTGGAAAAATAAAAATAATTTTCACATGAAGTACTAACAATTCAATTTGTCATAACCTGCCCCATTGTTATGGTAAAAAAAGGGTCCCGAATAAATCTCTTTCAGCTACTAGTATAAGAAAAGTTCAGAAACTTGCTGAATTCTAGTAACATAAATACAATTAACTTAGACTGATATAAGCCGTGCATTTCATGGGGTAATAAGGATCAGTGTTGTCATGCCACAAAAAAGCCAATATGATGCATCACTTATAGCATTGGCTAACATAGCATAAGCCACATTGAGCACTGGATACCTAATTATTTTTAATTATACTGTAAAAATTAAAAATGGAGTCATATTAGATGTTTAGACACATTGGAATGTATGTAAATATAGTAACAAAGGTTATTGATATTAGAATGTAGATTTCTGTATGAAAATGTCATTAGTATTGTGGCCTCTATATTCTAGATTTTCATGCATGTCTTGTAAATTCTCCGATGACACCAAGTCAAAATGTAATATTTCAACTCAAAAACATCAATGAATACTAAATCTTTTGTGGTTTTATTCAATTAGAACCACATATTTCTTCATAGGTAAAGCAGTTATTGCCGCTGTGTGACTGGTAAAAGCATGATAGTTTCTAAATCATTTTGCTATTTAATATAATAAAATATGATTGTATAAGTGAAAATATAGATAAATAGTGTATTATAAAAATGATTTGGATATATAAATAATAAGTGAGATTTTTAAGCTTCTGCTTCCGTGTAAATGTAAAAGTGTGCCTGTATCTATATGGAGTAGACAATTTCAAAATCATAAATATTTAATTTTGGTAAATATAAGTGAAAATTATAAAAAAATAATTTTAATTATAGAATAACTTTATAATAAATTGGATTTTGAAATTGGATAACAGATTTATGTGTCTCAAATAAAATATAAATACATATAATATTAACCTGGTGTGTGGACGGAGTTGGTTGCATTTTGTGTGTACTTTGGGAAAGTCATCAGAGGGTACCTTAAAATTGGGCGCGCTGGTCTCCCCTCCCCCGCCCTGCATGGCTCTTACCAAACAATACGACAATTTCATTAATACAAGTGAATTAAAATAGTTATAAAAAAACCTATTGTATATATAGTATTGTAATAATAAATAAATTTCATCACAGTACTAGCGGCGGTTAGTAATTAATAATTTATTTTAGTAGTAATAAAAGTTATCTAGCGCCAACCGCGCAAGCAATACATAGCAGAAGCGTTAACACAACACCGCATACACCAAAACATACAAAAATCAATATCGTTATGCGGTATTAGTAGTATTTTACAAATTGCCCCTCACGTCACTCATTAAATATTATTATTAAAGGTTTGCTTACGATTCTGACAATCAATTTTCTTCGCCGATGTTTGCCGGTCGAAGATCTTGTGAACACTAAAAATTTCACATTTCTGATTTGTGTTACAATTTTTTTAGAGTTTTTGTTTGTTTTAGCTAAAATATCACAATTTTGATAGATCCATATTTTCGTGTTTCAAATTTAGCACACGCGCGTCATACTCCTCAGAGATGCGTTCACGTAAGCATGATTTTATTTACATATATTTGTTTTAAATAGAAAACAAGTCGTTTGTATTTTGCTTGTATACTACGAGGTTTCGAATATAAAAATTAGTGCAGCGTAGTTATTTTTATTGTACAGAATTTTGGATATGTATAAGCTGTCTTTTTTCTGTCTATGATCTGAAACAGTCAAACATTTGTCAAACACTGTCAACCTGTCAGCAAATTCAAAAAGAAATATTTTTGTTGTGATTACATTGTGTTTACATATTTATCTGTATTTCTAGATATCATAACAGAACATTTATTATTTCTTTAAATTTTCAAACAGTTAGAATGACGGAAGTTCAGTTACAAGAATTTAAATTAGAGCCCAATTCCGAACTTCGTTTCGAAGTCGAATCAAAAAATGAAAAAGTGGTTCTTGAGGTATATCAAGTTCGAAAAAAAGATTTAAGACTACGTTCACACTGAAATCTTCTTTGATAAAACTACTTCAAATGTACAATTAAATTTATAGGTTAAAAGTGGCTACGCAGAACTATTTGGCACAGAGTTGGTGAAGGGGAAACCATATGAATTCCATACAGGTGCTAAAGTGGCAGTGTTCACGTGGCACGGCTGCACAGTAGAGCTCAGAGGCAAGACAGAAGTTAGTTATGTTGCAAAGGAGACACCAATGGTAAAGTATATTCATCTTATGCAGTAGTAAGTATATAGGTTATGAATATGTAGAGGAAGGGATCACTAGAATGATTAAGCTAAGGGTAGTAAAAATCTGAAATTTTCGTAACCTACATCATTACTTCCTTTGTTAAAAAAGTATGTGAAGTGCAGTACATGGAAAACCTTTTTTAATGTCTTAACTGTAATGTTTGTTTTAGGTAATCTATCTAAATGTGCATGCGGCATTGGAACAGCAGAGAGTGGCCGCGGAGCAGGAAAACACGCGAGGCCCAGTCACCATGATTGTGGGCCCAGGAGATGTGGGCAAGTCCACACTAACACGCCTGTTGCTCAACTATGCGGTGCGGATGGGCCGAAGACCTATCTATGTGGACCTAGATGTCGGTCAAGGGCACATTAGTGTCCCAGGGACTATTGGTAAAAATCATTATCCCATATGTTTTGAAAGAGGCACATAATCTAAAGAAAATAAATACTAAAAGAAAGTTATAACTGAAAAGCATATTTATTTGGATGAGTGTCGATGCAGGTGCACTCCTTGTGGAGCGTCCAGCGTCCATTGAGGAGGGCTTCAGTCAGCAGGCGCCGCTGGTGTACCACTTTGGCCACAAGTCTCCCGAGGAGAACATTGAGCTATACAACACAATAGTCTCCCGGCTAGCGGAGGTTATCACTGAGAGGTGTGAAAATAACAAAAAAGGTATGGAAGGAACTGTTTATACCTTATAATAATGAAACTTGTACTTAGATTGAAGTTGTTAACCTACTACTAAAGATAATGTTACAGACGCCAAAAGGAACTTTTTCTAGTATTTTCTTTGTAAGTTATTTAATCAAATTTATATCTACAAATTGAATATAGTTATTTGCATTTGATTAATACTGGCTTGTAATGAGGTGAATCTGATTATTTGTGCATGCAGCGTCAACATCGGGTGTGATCATCAACACGTGCGGCTGGATCAAGGGCGCGGGCTACAAGGTGCTGACTCACGCCGCGCAGGCATTCGAGGTATGTCTATACTACTATATCTGATTGTTGTTCACTGACAGTTTGAGAAAAACCTTTGATGTATTACTGAAAATATGAGACTGATTCACAAATTAAGTGATTTTTAATTTGTCGATAGCCAACGTTCATTCATAAAAAGCCTTAAAAACTACGTTACTATTTATATTTTGCGTATTAATACTGGGTTTCCGAAGTTACCTTTTAATTTGTCATAACCTAGCAATTCATTAAGGTTCGGTTAACATATAAATTTTATAAAGTTATCGAATCGAAAATACTAATGAATATTTAAAGATGACTGGGAAACCGGCCATAAATCATATAATTATTTAAAAAATGCTGCATTTATTTTACTAGCGCCATCTAGCGGTCGATATTGACAGACCGTTAGCCAGCGATGTAATGAGAAATCACTCTCGGGCCAGTGTTTTTGGTAATAAATAGAATGTGCAATTAATTGTATATTGCAGGTGGATGTGATACTTGTGTTGGACAACGAGAGGTTATACAATGAGCTGAAACGAGATATGCCAAAGTTTGTGAAAGTCGTATATCTGCCCAAAAGTGGTGGGGTGAGTGCAGTTTTTGTCAAAGTTTTATAACTTGTGACCAGATTGTGTTTATTTAAGTATGGTTTAACATAATACATGACTTGAGCTATATTTGTTTTTTGCGTTGTGAGGTGGCGGAGCGGTCGGCGGCGCAGCGCGCGGAGGGGAGGGACGCGCGCATCCGCGAGTACTTCTACGGGCGGCGCACCCCCTACTACCCCCACTCCTTCGACGTCAAGTACTCCGACCTCAAGATATACAAGGTGCGTCCATCTACACTGATATTATAAAGACGAAAGATTTGTATTTTTGTATGTATTACAATAACTCAAAAACTACTTGACCGATTTCAAAAATTCTTGCACCATTCTATGTTATCACTGAATAACATAGGCTATTTTTTTAATTTCACGCGGCCGAAGTCGCGAGCCAAAGCTAGTATCTACGAAAACTGTTATTGACAATTTCGTCCACGTGGAGTTAAAAAAATAGTAAAAAACACAGTCTATGTTACTCATTGATAATGTAGCTATTAAATGGTGAAAGATTTTTCAAAATCGGCCCCGCAGTTTTTGAGTTATTCTAATATTTAAATAAATTGAAAAATTCAAATCTTTGTTAGCCTTTAGCCTAATGGTCAAGAGTACGAATTTCCGATCTCGTGGTGTAGAGTTCGACTTCAACCTTTACATTATTGAAAACCATTATTAGTACAAGCCTAGTGTAGCAGTACTGATGTTACGGTGAGTACGGTGTGTGCAGGTGGGCGCGCCCTCGCTGCCGGACTCGTGCATGCCGCTGGGCATGCGCGCGGAGGAGGCGCTCACCAAGCTGGTCGGCGTCAGCCCCGGGCCCGCGCTGCAGCACCGCCTGCTCGCCGTCTCCTTCGCCGCGGAGCCCGACGACCACGTGCCGCACTGCAACCTCGCCGGCTTCGTCTGCGTGTGCGTCCGCCGCCACCGCCACCGCCACCTCCCTCACCACCACCACCACCACTCTCAACAGCCAGTAGTAACGTCCGCTTCCTGCCGCAGGACCGCCGTGGACCCCGAGCGCCAGACGATGACGGTGCTGTCCCCGCAGCCGCGCCCCCTGCCCACCACCGTGCTGCTGCTCTCAGACCTCCAGTACATGGACAACCACTAGCGCGGTGCCGCTCCAGCGCTCCAGCAACTCTTCAGTCAAACTGACGCCTAACATCTAGTTGTACGAGTCGTCTTAAATGTGAATTTGAAAATATTTCAGCTGTGATGTAACTGTACGCAAGACGCATCGCGTTACAGTTTCTATGATTGGACCCTTTTCTTGTAAATTAATTTTAATTATGTCTTCGCAGATAGAGTAGTCGTAATTTCTGTAAATATTTGTAATTCATTAAAATAAATGAGACTTATAAAATGTTTTATTCTTTATTTTTAGATTTATGAACATGTATGTACATAACGGTGTTTATAAATTACGAGCTGTTGCCCGCGACTTCGTCCGCGTTGTATTGGAAAACATACAAACTATATATATTACAAAAAGTTACGTATCATTTTACGGACATTTCTCGGGGATGAAGCTCATCCCATGTGTACTCCAGACTTTGTTTTTTAGTTTTAAACCGTTGCAGAATGATCAAGTAAACATTAAAAAAACTCAATGAATCCCACGAGAACCGTAACTATTCCCGGGATAAAAAGTAGCCTATGTGTTCTTCCAGACTATGCTCTAAACCTGTGCCAAATTTCTTAGAGATCCGTTCAGCCGTTTAGGCTACAAACGCTAACATCCATCCATCCATCTAAACTTTCGCATTTATAATATTAGTAAGATTACCAACAAAATAACTATCAATATAATGGTTACTTTTATTCAATGTTTAAGTTATCATAGTCTGAGAGTTTCAAATTCATTATTTGGAATTTAATTTACTTATTTAGGTTTCATGTTATTTACAAAATCAATGTCATATAGTTACTGCTATCAAACATATAAAGATATATTAAAAAGAAAATTATATTATTTGAATAATATTAAAACGCAAAAATTAAAATCTCAGGAATAAGAATAGTGCGATTTCTTGCTTTTAACTATCAGTTCATAAATGCCGTGTGCACGAGATTTTTAGTTTTTGTCCTCAGAGATAGGAGCAGTTTGCGACTTTTATTATAATTCCATTTATTGTAGTTCCATTCGGATAGAGTATCCACTTGTCACGTGCCACTACTGTCGCAAATCTTGACCCGTTACAAATTTGACATTGAGATAGTACTTTGCAGAGAAAGTACCGGTGAAAAAAAATTTGTACCATGGGGACATAGGTCTAGTTTATATTTTTTTTAAATGTTTTCTGTGAATTAATAAAAGAAATAATACAAAATTTCAGAAATAATTCAATATATTTAAAATAAATAACATTACTGCACACAAAATAAGTACAATAGAAGTTGTTGTAGAATGAGCACCGACTGAGGGAGCACCAAAATATCTGATAACACTAACTAATAAGAACATGATGTAAATTATATAAAATAGTTTTGCTACAAGTTACATTCACCGATAGGAACAAATGACAATTAACGACAAATCGGAGAAGATTGATTCCAGAGAAACCGCCTGCACCTCTGTATCAAAGATTAAATCAATTTACTATATTAACATGTATTCCAATGTCCAAGGGCCGTGTTGCAGGACACTAGACATTTTGTTACTCTACATAATTCTTGCGCAACTTCTAGAGAGGTTTGACTGTAAACAGGCATATATCTGTACATTGTACGTATTTAAAAGGGCTAAGTTGACTTCTGGTTTTGGTAGCATTAGTTGTGCTGTCGGTCCTGGTCGGCCGCTGCGGGGGCGTGGTCCTGCGCTGCGGGGGCGTGGCCTCTCGTGTGCGCCTGCGCGAACTTGATAGCGACGCGCATGGCGTCCTGCACCAGCTGCTCGCACGTGATCAGGCTCACCTGCAACGTTCGCTCAGTGAGC